TTTATGCAATACATACTCCATGTCTTATATTGAGGTAGTGTGATTCGAAGAGTTTCAAATAGAAAGATCACCTATCGGTTCCTTATAAGACTAAACTATTCGTTCACAGTCTAGACTGGCAGTGAGACCCCACTTGGAAAAAGACTGTAGTGTATTCTCGATTCAGTTGGTCTTTGACTGAAGGATTACACTGGCACTTATGTTAAGTGTTGAATAGGACCGCGGAAGGCAAAGGTTATGAGACTCACTGACCGTTGTTGTAACCTCGCCCTACAGTGATTGATGCGTACTCTTAAGCTGTAATATAATATAAAATAGGCATATATTTTTATTTCTTATTTATTTGATTTACCAAGTGATTCCTATTCTGTTAGGATGACATACGAGGTATTTTGGTAAGTAAGAATAATTATATGATGTGCTATTATAGATTATTTACAGTCACTATGTTCCAGTGCGCTGGACTGATGACGTCCCCGAAATGAGCTCAGAAAGGAACATTATGTTAAACCCTGCAGGTAGACGATTGTCTGATATAATGGTTAAAGGCTGAGTGGTACTAATTTCGGAAATGAATAAGAAGTTGATTAATTATTTTGTCAGTAATTTAATTAATCAACGGACGTTATATCTTAAACATAGGGGGTAAATCGATCAATCTGATTAATATTATTTAATCATGGAGGCTCGATTTTATTGGTAAAATAGTGGCTAATTGGGGAGAGAAATAATATTACTCTAGTGGGATGTTTTATTATTTAATTCCATTAAATAGGAATTAATTTTATTCCATATTAATTAGGAGAATAAAATTCCTACTAGAATCTTCTCTTGAGATTAGGAGACTTGGGAGTCTTCTAGAAGACGAAGATTAGTGGGAAATATATTTCTTACATTATATTATTAATTGGAGTAAAATTAGGTATCCTAAATTAGGAATTAATTCTATTCCAGGATTATTAATTTAATTAGGAAAGGAAATTCCTACAAGGATCTTCTCTAGTGTTAGGAGACTTAGGAGTCTTCTAGAAGAGAAAGATTAGTAGGAGATCTCCTTCCTAGATTGAGTTAGTATTGGATTAGAATTAGGTTTTCTAGGCCTAATGGAATAAGCCCATATTTAGCACCTCCTTAAGGTCCCTAATGGAGCCTATATATACACCATGTCCCAAACTCTCCTACAAGTTGATGTTGGCCGATTTTCTCATCTACATACACGTGAGAATTACTTTGTTCGAGAGTTAACGAGATCCGATTAAACGCTCCACCAAGTTT